ACAAAGTCACAGCCATCATGACGTGTCTTCCTTGCCTTTATTATTCTAGTTAGATTTAAAAGTTATGTCTGGACACATGGCAGTGATTTTTATATTATGGCTCCTGAAACAGCCAAAATTTTTTTTTCTAAGTTGACTCAGAATTAAAAACATTGTACAGTTAAATTAATGCAACAGGTTTTCACTACAAACAGAAGCAGCAAGTGCTCTCCATGGGTCAAGTTCAGACTGCACTGAAATTGTAGTTTCTGTTGAAAGGACTAGTTGATGCATTTTGTATTTAAGAGAACTGCCTGAACTGTGTTTGAAGCTGGAAGCAGACTGGCACTCTTTCCCTTATGCCTGCCATAGACCAGACACATGTTTTCCATATGTAAACTCTCTGCTATAAGAGGCATCTTCAGCAAAAAGACCAGATTTCTCAACTTTCCAAAATAGCCTATGGAATGGTCATCAACGCTCTATCCTGAAGATGTGGGTTCAGCTTCCCACTGTTCTAGTGCCTAAATGAATATTAGAATCCATTTGTGACCTTCCTGGTTATATTTTGAAATACAGCAGCCAAAACTGCATTCTCTGGCATATTCAGTAACTACTGCCTTTCTACTGAATAGGCTTGTGCAGAAGGTAAGGACTGAATTATTTAAGAACCGTAACCAGTTCTGGTCATACTGGTAAGAAGGAAGCATCTAAGGAACTATTTTTAGCCAGGGGAAGTTACTGACTATATATCCAAGGCTAAGTACCAGCTACGTCAAAAGACTTGAAGAAAGCAATTTTGGACCACTTTTCTGCCTATAGGAACTTTAGGTACTTTGTTAGATTTGTCTTTAAAAGGTTGGTGATTTGATAGAACTACAGACCAGATGTTTACACTAAATGTGCAGCTGACTTTTTCTCCAAAACTTTTCCTGCCTTCTTGATTGTTAGTATTGCAACAAATGTGAAAATGTGCATCTTTCCTCTGCCTTAAAATTTCCAATTCTGAATCTCACTTTCACCTTCCTGAGAGCCCACTTTTACCAGAAGCAGTGCCATCTAGTAACTCCCACAGTTACTAAATCACTGCAATTCCTGCTTGTTGTGATCATGTCTTCTTTATTTCATGAACTATCTGTAGCATGTGACAAATGTAAATACTGAGAATTGGAGTAAGCTGCAAACTACTTCCAACAGTTTCATGATAAAGATATTTCTTTGATCATTCCGAAACTCACAGATAGGAGGCAACCCCTACCATTTGTTACTAGCACTAAAATTCCTGCACCTACAGGAGACTGCCTGCATGCAAGACACACTATGGATTACTACTGGAATAGTGAAATCAGTCATGTTAACAACTGTTGGTTATTGCACACTTCTTCTGGCTTTAGAAATACATTCCTGTTCAGACAGTTATAAGATCCCCCTTCTGCTGAAGCCGTAGCAGATTCAGACCCGACTCATAATAACCAACTTCATCATGAAATCGAATGAAACCACTTCAGAAAACTCATATAATTATCAGTAAATTACTTCTAGAGCAGCATGGCACCAGTTAAGAACATGATATGGCACTTTAAATAAAAACCACTGATGTGGTTTGCTGGCTCAAGGAAAGAGTACAACAAAACATGTGCTGCAGAAGGGAGACCACTCAGTTTGCCTAACGCTGCGTTAATCAGGGTCCCTCACACCTATGTAAAATTCCACTTGAATTCCATCCATGAATTGTGAATCTTGTGGTCAGCTCCACCCAAGCTCAGAAGCTCAGCTAAATCAGTGTAACTGCCTGGCTGTTCCTACTTGGTATTTGTCTGTGGTTATTGGCAAGTGCTTTATCTCAGACACAGCTGCTCGCTAAGCTTAGCGTGACTGAAGAGAAATCCTCAGTATAATGTCATGGCTGAATTTCACTGCAGATCATTTTTAAGTAAGAACTTAGACACCTTAAATGACCCTTGTCACTTGTATTTAACATTACTAAAACTATATTTAGGAGATTTAATAACATCAGTATCTGACTACAGTCCGGATAGTACTGAGGAATTAATGCCTCTACACATTTGACCTAAGCTTCATTAAAAAAAATGTTTCACATTGATAATTCCTCTTCTGAGATTAAGGTCCTTATCTTTTATTTCTAATCACTATAACATGGTTTTTACCCAATTTTTGGACAACGTACAGCAGAGGTAGTATGCAGAACAGTCGACATCAGCTGATTTTATCAGCACACTACAGCAAAGACTTTGTCAGATGCTGAAGTCCTCAAAGAAAGGTCAAGACATGTAGCTAATCCCAAATAGCAAACAGAATTCTCTGCCTACCCTGCTGTAGTGTTTGTTCCCCTCTCAGAGGTGTGAACGTCTTAGGACACAATATATCTGTCAGTTGGCCATCATGCTCAAAGTTAAAACAAATTTATCCCTTTCTAGTATGAATCTGCAAGTTAAATGGACATGTTCCCGACAGCACAGAACAGTTAAGGATTTGGAGCATAATTTAATGGAGACAGCATCACACTCAAATTTTTAAATGTTAGAGGCATTGCTCAAACAGATCAGAGAATAAGAAAGTAGAGAAAACTGAGGTAAGGACCAAAAGGAAAAGGGGAGAGAACGTTAAGCTGAGAATTAGTATTTCAGAACATGCATTGAAATAACTTTTATGAACTTGCTGAACAGACACCTCTAACCTAAACAGCAGGTCCTCCGTAGTAGAACACACCCCATTGTATGAGGTTAAATATATTTGTTATCTCTAACACAAAGATGCTCTTAGGTAGGATCACTTGAGCCTTTGTATTGGGATGACACACTTAAGGTAAAGTGATTTTGTGCACCTATTAAGGAACACCTATGGCATAAAAGGTTGACCATTATAGTTTCTCAACAAACTCCAAGCAATTCATAGGGGATAAAAATCAAAAGACCTGTGGTTCATGGGGAGTTTAAATAGATATAAGCAAAATAAGTTGTATGAAGTAAAGATCCGGTAGTGTAACTAAATTTCTACTTGGATTGTGTTCAGCCTCGAAGAACTAGGGAAAAGTTCTACAGAAAAAGTTCATATCCTTGTCCTCACCTGATATTTGAAACTGGTCCTACTGTTTGTACTTCAAACATAAGACACTGCTTTGAATTAATACTTTTTATTGCATTTGTAATGGTTATGGCAGTCATTGTCCTACCAAATATGAGAAGTAGTTTTCAACCTATTTGACTCATCAACTGCACCAGCTGAGGAAGTACCCATTCAAGCTCAGTCTACTTTATGTAACTTTGTTAAATGTAAAACTTAAGTCTTCTAAGAATGCTAGGACTGAGATGGAAAGAACAACACACATTTAAAACTCAGGGAATTTTTTTTTAGAATAAGCTGCTAGTTAAGTTATTGTCAGCAAAAGAATTTCTGAAAAACATTCTGACAGATACTTTGCAAGCCCATAATAAGCCTAAACCCAAACAGAGCACTTCCCATTTCCACTGGGAAGCGTTGCAATGTAACAGCACAAAATAGAGTGAATTATGACACTGATTATTTGCCTAAGCAGAATTTGAGTCACAGGATGCCTTCACTTTTTCAGAAACATCAAAATAAACAGAAGCATAAAAAGCAAACCACTTTTCATTCTGAGCTATAGTTTTATGAAATAGAGCAATGAAATTAATAAACAAAAATTTATTTCACTTTGGACTTAACACCTACTTATTCATGGGATTCTTTTCATATTTTAACTGCTATTTATTGAAAACATTTTTATCAGACTGATGCATCTGAATGTGTGATGTGGGAATTGAGTCAAACTAAGAAAAAATAAAAAAGGAAATTCTACCAAAAATCTGGCCTAGCCTAATAACATTGCAAAAAGGGACTGAAGGTAACTCTTTAAAATGTAGCTATTCTATTGCACAGCACATTTGTGTGACACAGCTGAGGACTAAGCTGTGTTAATAAGCTGATATGAAATATAGTACAGGAAAGGTGGTTTTTTATTTTGCCTTAAACAAACTTTTATAGATTTGTGTCCTCTCCGATAAAGGTTTTAATGCTTTCAGTAATTTTTTCTTCTACATTGACAGACAAGAGAGGGGACTGGCTGCAGGACTGCTCTGACCTGCAATTTACAGTCCTGTGTCTAGTTGTGGGCACCTCAATTCAGGAAGGACGCTGAGGTGCTGGAGTGAGTCCAGAGAAAGGGAACGGATCCAATGAGGGTCTGGAGCACAAATCCTATGAGGAGCAGCTGAGGAAGCTAGGGGTGTTTAACCTGGAGAAGAGGAGGCTCAGTGGTGACCTTATCACTCTCTACAACTGCCTGAAGGGAGGGTGTAGCCAGATAGGGGTCGGCCTCCCAGACAACAAGCGACAGACTGAGAGAACACAGTTATTATGCTGGGCCAGAGAGGGTTTAGGTTGGACATCTGGAGGAATTTCTTCACAGAAAGGGTGATCAGAAATTGGAGGTGCCCAGGGAGTTGATGGAGTCACCGTCCCTGGAGGTGTTAAAGTAAAGACTGGACATGGCACTCGCTGCCTCGGTTGACAGGGTGGTGTTCGGTCACAGGTTGGGCTCGATGATCCCTGAGATCTTTTCCAACCTAATTGATTCTGTGATTCTAAAACACCACCAGCCACTGCTGCAGCTCGGGGGCCGTCCCGTACGATGACGGTGTGTTAATCCCTTGCTGTGACCCCCGATACACCCACAGCCGACTCGGGGGCCGCCCCGCCGAGCGCGGCGTCCCGGCTCGCCCAAGGTCACGCGAGGGGCCGGGCGCGCTCGGTACACGGCGGGGCGGCCGATCCCTCCCCGGCTGAGCCGCCGCCCGGTGCCGCAGCCCCTGCCCGGGGTGTGTTACCTGCGGGTTGTAGGCGGCGGCCGCCGTGGCCCCGACGAGCCTCTGCGCGAAGCCGCTGAACTTGTAGTACATGGCGGGCGGGGGGGCGCCGGTGCGACCGCGCCGGGAAAGGACCCCCTTGCCACTGCCGGCTGCTCTGAGACGCACCGTTCAAGGGCCCCTCCGGCTCGCGGACAACCGGTACGGTCGCCTGCGCGGGAAACCGCCGAAGGAATAAGGTAAAAAAACAAACAAACAAAAGAAATCCGGAAAAATACAGGAGCCTGTACCAGGCAGCGGGAGCGCCTCTCTTCCAAGCACGCCTGGCGCTCGCGAAGAAACTGAGCCTGGCGACAATTTTGAATCAGGCAAAAAACCCGGGCCTCCCAAGCAAGCCGGGTAGGAGCGCGAAGGGCGGTGGGAGCGGGTGTGTCTTACGTCGGCCAATCAGCTCGGGCGGGAGGTGAGGCCCCGCCCCCTGGCGGGTGCGATGGGGGCGCCCCGGGGCAGGGGGTGGGGCCGCGGGAGCGCGCGGGTCACACGGGGCTCTTGCGCGAGGCTGCGGCGGCGCCACAGGGACCGAGCCGCGCGCGTCGCCCTCCGCCCAGCGCGCGCCGCGCGTGAGGGAGCGGGTGCGTTTGTGTTCGGGTCCACTCTGAACGGGGAGGGTGTGCGCTCAGTCGGGTGCGTTACCCGGTGTGCAGCAGGCCAAGAATCACGGAATCAAACAGGCTAGAAAAGACCAGTGAGGTCATCGAGTCCAACCTGTGTCTGAACACCACCTTGTCAACTAGACCGTGGCACCGAATGCCACTTCCAGTCTTTCCTTAAACACCTCTGGGAACGGTGACTGCACCACCTCCCTCGGCAGCCCATGCCAATGTCTAATTACCCCTCTGTGAGGAAATTCTTCCTGATGTCCAAGCTAAACCTTCTTGAGGCTGGCACGTCTTGAGGCCGTGTCCTCTCATCCTGTCACTTGTTGCCTGGGAGAAGGGTCCGACCCCCACCTGGCTGCAGCCTCCTTACAGGTAGTTGCAGAGAGGGGTGAGGTCTCCCCTGAGGCTCCTTTTCTCCAGGCTAAACACCTCCAGCTCCCTCAGCTGCTCCTCATAAGACTTGTGCTCCAGACCCTTCCCCAGCTTTGTTTCCCTTCTCTGGATGTGCTCCAGCACCTCAATGTCCTTCCTGAACCGAGGGGCCCAGAACTGAACACAAGACTCAAGGTGTGGCCTCACCGGTACTGCGTACAGGGAAGGTATCACTTCCGTAGTCCTGCTGGCCATATTCCTGCTGATACATTGATTATTTATTTCAGAGTTGTGCAAGCCTGGATGCTTGGTGGTGGTGTACAAATCAAGCGCACCCACTATCAAAACTTACTATTTATATGTTTTAGCAAACAAAGGCATTTAGTGGCTACAAGTTACATAATTTTCTTATTGATTCTATTGGTTAATTTTTCTCTCTCTTCTCATGCCAATTAGTCTGCATTCTCATTCTTTCTCTTGAATCGATGGGTTTCTTGAGTCGGTGGTCTGCGAGTCGGTAATTTTGGTCACGCTCTCCCCCTGCAAGAATTACCTTTCACCCAGTTGGAGCTGATTCAGCACAGTTGCTGAGTTGTCTTTATTGGTTTCTTACTTGGGAGTTCTGCAAAATATCTTTGTGGCCCATAAATTCTACATTCTTTGTGTCCACTCTCAGTGGTACATCCTTCTTCCCAAGCTTTGTTAATCTCCCCCTAGACCTGAGATCACTGGAGCGTGTCAAGCCCTAAACCTTAACAAGGCAATTCTCCCAACAAGTAATTTCTCTTTCTAAAACCACCGTCACTTAGAGCTTGCTTGTTAGCTTCCGTCTTTTCATGGATTAAATCTCCTTTCTTGTTGATAGGGCCTGAAAGTACTCAATGATCAAACATCAAATTATGTCCTTTCCTAAGAAAATGTTATGTATTCCACATTTTGCAAAAGGGAGAGCAGCAGTTTTGTTTTCTAGGACTTAATCTCTGTGTGTCCACTCTAACAAGTTATTCAGGTGTCACTAGCAAGTGATTCCCTTCTATTCTGCCATCTTTCGAAAACATCTGAAATGTATAATTCATTGGGTAAAATAAGACTTTTGTTAAATGAAATCAGTATCACGAACCAGGGGAATGTAATATGAGGCTGCTTCTGAGTTTAACATTCGTGAGAAGTCAAAATAGAGCCTTGAGTTGTCTTGGATTTATCCCCTTGTGAACAGACATGTCCTATACAGGATAACCACTGCTCAGTAACGAGGAAAGCTCTTGGGAGCCCTGTACATCCATTTACTTTTGAGAGCAGGGCTATGAACCAGAAGTGTAGATCCTTGCTGCACTGCTTTTTACCTGTGCCTGTTGCCCTGAAAGCAAGTTTTCTTCTTGGTGAAATTTTAATCCCTCAAACTCTGTCTGTGCTGTCCTCTCACAGAGAGAACCAGCTGGATGCTCCATACGTGATACCCTGTGTCAATGTTCTGACTCTGGGTTAGGAACATTAACTGGAAAGGATATGTTATTTGCTCAGCAAGTAGGAAATTTATGGAAATATTTTGTAAATGTTACAGGAAGAATTGTGAAATCCCTGTAGCTTTCAAGAGTAGGCAGTATTAATGAACTGGAAGATGTGCTGCATAATTTAGGGTGGAAAAGAATTTATTCCCAAGAAAAATAAACTAAAAGTTATGTTTGATTACAAGTCTGCCTGTAATGGAGCAGAAGACCCTGAAGATGAGATGTACATATTCCTTTAGAGTGTAATGCTGTGAATCATGGCTAGGTTTGTTTGGTAACAGTCCTGACCTATTGAAATCCGTGGGATCTAGCTCATATTATAATGTTGCTGGAACCTTTCCTGGGCATATTTGTCTGCAGCTGCACTATAGCTCCTCCTGCTCAGGTCTTCTAGCATTTGCCAGAAAAAATAGGTGTGCATGGTAAGTTCACTAAGGTTGTGTTATATTTTGTTTTTCTGCCCTTAATACATGCTACAGTACCAGAGGAGCAGAGGTTTTGAGGCAGGTCATGCATTGACATAACACCATTGTATAACTAGTCTTGCTTCGTTGTTTTCTTGAATCAAGTTCTTGAAAAGTCACTCAGTATTGATTGAAAGCCACAGAAAGAAAAGGTTCATGCCCTGGAGCTCTGAGGAGGCTGTAAAAAATGTACAAATTTATCCTCTTTTTCAGTTAATCAATTTAAGTCTTGATGCTTAAAAGTAAGCTGTGAAACTTTGCTGCTTCAAGCTGTTGGAACAAAACCTAGGTGTGATCTTCCTCTTGTTTTAGCTCACAAAATTGAAGATGGGGAGTTGTTTACCTTGCAAGAGAGCTGCATGGGAGGATGACATGAATAAAATTACAGTTACAAGTGGAGCTCCTGCTGTTGTTCATGTACCACAGGAGCATGGGAACATTCTATGAAAAAAATAGCATGAAGTCTTTCCTTTAAAGGAAGAAACTTGGTTTTGTCTTAGACCTTTGGTTCATCTTTTGCTTTAGTCTCTAGACTTTTGCCAAGACTGCTTTGCTTATCAGACTTGCTGACTTAATGGGTAATTAGGCTGTAAAACTTGCTGCCATAGGAAGTAACTGGGGCATAATGAGGCCGCTCACCCTAGCAGGGTTCAAACAAAGATGGGGCATCTTTGAAGACCATAAAACTGTGTACAGTTAATAGAAGCAAAGTGTCCTGGAAGGAAAAGCCTTCCTCCTCTGGACTTTAAGGTGAGCCCTGAGTTTGAGATGAACAATTCATGGCGACTGGCATTTTGACATCTGGTCTGTTAGAGATTTTATATCTTCAACTGCAGTGTGGTATTTGCAGCAGCTAAAGACAATAGGATCCTGTAGTTTATTCAGTTTTTTACAGATTTTTAAGATCACTGGTTTTATACATGCAAGTTTTTTTATCATGGCTTGTTCTTGGAATAGCAGTAAGATTATGTTTCAAAATAAGTAGATTTCTGGGAGTGAATGAAAGAAGTAGAGTATCTTGAGCTCATTCTGCTTTTTTGTTGTTGTTGTTGATGCTGTGATTATTGTATTTATTTTCTTTCTGAGGATAAAGAACAAGACCTTAATCGATTGCTTAATGAACAAAACCTTCATATGCTGATCATTATTTCAGCACAGATGTCTGTAACTCAGATTCTGTCAATCTACCCATGCAACTCTGTTCTTGAATTGCTAAGAACAACTGTGTGGGTGGATTTAGAACATTAAATTGCCATGTGCATTTATGTTTTGTTTATGCAGTACTCATTTTTAAGAGTACTAGATTGGATTTGCTTAATGTTTGCTTTGTGTTGTGTATACATAGGATATACAAACCCCCAAACTAGAAGATGATCACCTAGCATAAACTATTAATGCAAGAGACTGATATTGTAAACATGTTCAATTTGAATTATCAACTAAAAGAAATAAATTCAGTCTATACACAGACTAAGGTGTTAGTTACTTCTAAAACCTGTACCTGAATTTATTGGTGCTTTATTGCCCATACATACTGAATGCAGCAGAGATAACTCTTGGAAATAGGCTTCTATTGCCAGCTAAGAGATTTCTCTTTCATAGATCAAACAATACTGAAAACTATTAAAAATTGTAGTTTTTTAATTTTAAAATTGTCATAGACTTACAATATTAATATACATTTAACCAAAGGCTTTACTGTGTATCTTTCTTGTAAGACTATTCTTGGGTTTTTTTGAGGGAGATAGTGTTAAGGAGGCAGCCATTTATATCTTCTCTATGAATTTAGAAATAATTCCTATTTTACTCCTGTTTCCTGGGCACTTCTTTGTCTTGAGATAAGGCTTCTACATGTGAAATACTTGATAGCAATAGTTATTCAATAGCAATAGCAATTTTGGCAATAAGGGCGCTGTGTTGACTGCAGTATGATGGGGATCAGGAATCTTTTTTGAGGTGTTGAATCTTATCTGGGGATGTCTCCCTCTTGTTGAATCTATATAGTATTCTTTCCAGGTTCTCGTGCAGAACCTGTCTGAGAAAGTAAATGAACAGAAAACTTTATGATGTAATTATTGTAAAGACTAATGACTGAAAAATAGTTCTGGGGCAGTTATGTTTTTAATAGACTGTTTCTCTGCAGTTAGTTATTCTCTGAATAAAAGCAGAATAGAAATTGTGAAAACAATGGTTTATTCCAGGTAAGCAATGAAGTATTCTTTTATCCTCCAGTTTC